CAGATACAGTAATCTGTTATACCATCTATATGTAAGTACATATAAAAATATCTGTATTATATTTATTTTAACAACAACATTTATTAATATTTACAATTAAAAGTCAGATAATCAAGATACGAATTTAAAAAAATATATTTTTTATTCTCAAATTTAAAATACGCAAGTATGACAATTTCAAACATTTTGTTCCCGACTGTCGGTACATTTCATTATACACAGATGGGAAATTATTGCTGTATCAATATGTTATCTATGAATAATAAGTCGCTTTTAAGCATACGTGATTAGTTATTTTTTAAATGTATATGCATAAAATTATAGACGAAATATACAGATAAGACATGGCATATAAGATGAAATAAGAAAAACCTGACATCTTACAGGATTTCGTGTCTCACGTTCTGAAATACCGACCTCGGAAAAAGTAGAGTGTTACAACCAAAATAAAAATTATATTCATCTTATCTTCAAAAAAGATAAAATATTTATCTTTTATGCTATGAAAAAATCAAGAAGACTCTAATCCTATCCATCCTCCTTTAAAAAAAATTTATTTAAAATTAATGATAAATCTTTCTTTTGATGTAAGTTTGCAAAACATATTTCTTTGATTCTTAAAGTTTGCAAAAGAAGAAAAATCAACATATTAAATCCGAAATTAAAAATGAAATTATATTCTATCATATATATATTATATTTATGATTCATATATAATATGAATCATAAATATATTGCTTTAATGAATAAAAAATTATATTTACGAAAAATAAAATCGCGCTCGCAGCCAATTAGCTCATATTATTTCTTATAAAATATATAATTGTATAACGATTATCTATATAATTGTATAACTGATATTATTTACAAAAAGATATAATTATATATTGTATAATTAAATAATATGATTTCCCAGGTCTCACCGCTTGGAGGTTGCTGCGAATTGGAGACCCGCCCTAACCACGACGTCCCAACCACCCACCATTTGCATGAAAATTTATTTATTAACAAATGTATATTCTCCTTTCGTTGTACGTTTGCCAAACGTTCAAACTTTAGATCGTTGTGCAACACGAGCAACAAAAGGAGTTAGAAAAAGAAACCGACGCGGAAGACTAAATCTGAAAATAAAATCTTTCAATTAAAAGACTTTCTATCAATATTTTACACTTCCATCGGCGTGGAAATGAAAAATGATTGATAGTAAAAAGCGTGTGCAAAAAAAAAAGAAAAAAAATAAGCTTCCCAAAAAGCACTACGACATTTCACCCATCTATTTATCTACAGTATCTACTTTTCTATAATACACTACTTTCTTTAATAACCTTGATTGTGCATGCACTTAATTCTAAATACATATTTCTTTAATCAATTATACAATCTTTTGCTGCTGTAAAAAATCCTGAAACAAACTTAAATTAAAAATATAATATTAACATTTTACTTATTTAAAAATAAATTTTTTTTCATATTCCCTACCTATATAAGAATTTAAACACTTTGTTTCTAATTCTATCTATTGAACATCTAACAAATTCTCTTTATATCAACATTCATCCTATTTATATTCACACTGATTGATGATACACAATTTTCAAAAAATTTATGATAGGACATAAAACCACAAGAGGAAATCAGCACATACCAATGATGGCTAGTGAACAAAGCTATCAAGTATCAAGTACTTGTTTATGATGAGGAAATTAAGGAATTAAGAATGGCAAAATGATCATATTGCCTTGAAAAATAGGAAATATTGGTTTAGAAAACGAATCAGAGTATGGAAAACGAGGCTGATAACGAGACTGATTTTTTTAATGATAAGAAGAAGAAGAACAGAACATCGTTTATAAATCCTAACTATCAAAAAGCTAAATGTTTTCTACAACCTATCCCATTTAATATAAAAAATTAGAATATTTATTTGATGATGAGATAATCCATTCCATTGAAAAATGAAGAAAATTCCTGAAACAGATTATAGATCAGAATTATTGAGATCAGAAATAACAACAATAACAAAAGTAATTAATTCCTAGTAAATGAGGATCTAATATTATTTCGTATCTATTTTTTCCTCAATTTTTCTCAATTTATTTTCTTCAATTCTTCATACCTGTAACAAACTCAATTATTGGATTAGTAATTAAAAAATAATTTACATCTAGGAAAAGAAAGATTAATTAAAAAAAAAAATCTAATTATCAAAATTTTGTTAAGCAATTCATTATTTTAAATGAAAGATATTCATCGATAAGAAAGAAATAAAATTTTTTTAACAGTATTTTCAATAACAAAAACGCTCTCAATAAGGGGGTGCTGAAAAGAGAAAAACGACGAGAAGGTAACCAGAAGGGTTGCCAAAATAATTATCCACTCAATATAAATCCGAACAAACCGTGAGTGGAATTTTTTTTTAATTTCGCAACACTAATATGCTAAAATCTCAAAAGAAAACGCGAAGAGTGCTTCATTATACAATTCTGATGCAATTCTTCATCAACAAAAAAAAAAGAATAAAAAAAAAAAGATAAAAGATTCGCGAAAACATGTACGAGACTCTAATAAACTAATTTATGCACTCATATTTTATTATAGACGCAACACTAATAGCGGAAGATTGCAGCCACAATCAGCGACTGCCGTTGTACAATCACCCTTTGTACAGCCTTTTTGGCTGTAATAGGTGATTCAGGTGATCAACTGGAACGTACTTCCACAGTCCAAGTGGAAGAAATATGGGCAATTTGGGCAAACAAACGCAACACTATTATAAAAAACGCGACTTTTCAGCAACGCAACACTAATTCTTCAAACGAATTTAATAACAAAATTTATTATTATTTTATAAATCTAAAAAGCTATTTCAAATATTACGAAATTAAAAATAGTTAAATTATAGTACAAATATAAATTTAAATTAAAAAAAAAAAATAATAAAAAATAGACTAATCCATAATGAAAATAATTAAAAGTAAGCGCGAAATTTTTTTAACGCAACGCTACAACAAACGCGATTATCATTTTATCGCAACTCTAATTCAACCCGTTATTTATCAATCGCAACACTAATGCAAAACCGCGATTTGCCCATGATTGACTGGATG